ATATGTAAACTACCAGTGGGAGGTGTCGGTGAGGGTTTAGGAGGAAGTGAAGCATATAACATGTGATATGGTGTGTGTAGTGTGGGCGGCGAACATTGTAAATCGTCGCACGGAGATGAAATAATCTTCACTACATGCCGCACCGACTTTGCCATCATTTAGTTGTCGGTGATTTGGTGGGCTGTAAAAAGAAATATAAATACACAGAACGACTACCCATTCGAGATATTACCAGAGTCGAACTGTAATGCAAACTTGGTGTTCAGGTATTGCTTTTTCGTGGAAGTACTACTCTGTATGTATACATGTATACAATAGTGAAGTAGACGACATAATCTCTGAACATACATATGTATGCATATAGACACACAAGATACACCTCGTGGCGCGTTGAACAGTGGTCGTGGTGGTGTCTTGCACGACGTCGCCCGCACGGTGAGATCCTTCTTTGGAGTGCTTGGCTCTCTTGTTCGCCCTCTGCTGAGGTAAGTTGAGGGCGTTGGCACGCGCAGAGGCGGTTTTGTTCGTACGCATTGCGGAACGACTTGCCCGCGCAGCTGCTAGCCCGGCCTGACGCGTGCCACCTCCCAGGGGTAAAACGGAGTCGTTAGGGAGAGGATTGCCGCCGGAGTCCGTTCCGGACGCAAAGAAGTGGGTCGTTGCTGGGGTGGATGCATCATGTTGTCGTGCCGGCAATGCCTTGTCAGGAGGCTTCCTCTCCAAAACCGGACTCAACGCGAACAGGAAAAGGAGAGCCGCGAAGGCGACAAGCCGGGGGTACATGATCCCTGCAGTCTTGGGTGTGTGCGACAAGACAGACGGGAAGTCAAGGCGTATGACCCGTACACCCACCATGGTTGGCAGTCGAATGACGTACAGTAGGTGGCCCGATATAGTGGCAACCTGATTAGTAAAGTGCCCGATATAGTGGCATGAAAATCTCCTGGCAAAATCTCAACCCGATATAGTGGCACTTTGCCACTCTTGAGGACGGGGCCCTCAATAGTGGCATTTCGGGCATCACACACACCCAATAGTGGCAGTTCCAACTAGTGGGCCCCCACTACTGCTGTGCCACCCCACACCTGCCCACACACACTCTCAGCAGTGGGCGCCACACGTATCATGCTAGTCTGCGCGGACCAAGAACTGTGTAAACTCCCAAACCGACCACTGGGAGAGAAAGATGGGCACGAGTGTCGCCTTGGCTGCGGTGGCAGGCTTCATGGGATACCGTAGGTTGAATAAGATATCACACCCCCTGGACCAATATTGAAAGCTCGGTATCTCGGCAGGAAAAACAATGACTGTACCGAAAATGGCTGCGTTAGAACCGTCTCGTCGAGAGCTTTCCGAAAACTCTTTTTTCAGTATCGGTATCCTCTTCGTCGTGGAGTAATCAAGCTTTGTAAATCGGTCCAGGGGGTGTGATACCTTATGCAACCTACGGTATGTGGTGAACCAGAGGAGGAGGGCGGCCACGAAATACACCGCGTCTGCAACCCGTGCATCGCCAAGAAGCAGAAGACATTAGAGTGTTTGCCGACTCGTAGTGCAATCAGTCGGCTGACGCGTACAGTTGCAGAGCATCGTGGTGGTTGGATTGATGCGCCGGGGTGGGGATGTTTGATTTTTCTAGTGCTGTATGTAGGGCTGTTTCAGTTAGTTTCGCGTCTCTACGTTGCTGTTTTCATGCGTTCTACACGTAGTGTTGAACCCCGTGTTACACTGCCTGCCGGACAAAAAAAAATGATGTGCCACCTATGATACAATGCGTTTGGACGTGGTGTGGTCTGCCTGCACAGAAAAAACAGGTCTTGACCACAGAAGGCTCGGTAACCGTTGGATAATCAACGGCCATTTCATGTGTTTCATGCGGATACTGCTGCACACAAATAAACCACGAGGAGTGGAACAGTATACACGGTTTTACAGCGCATAATGAGTGTACAGCGTGAACATCGAAGCTCTTTATTCGATATAGTGGCACTATTGCCACTATCGACTGTCTAATAGTGGCAATTGTGCCACTATATCGAATAGTGGCACTGCCCTGAATAGTGGCACAATTCTGTCTGGCCACTATATGCCACTATATCGGGCCACCTACTGTATCTATCTACAGAAGTCCAATAGTTGGCATTGCGCATCTAGAGAAGTCCCATGGTTGGCCATTGGCTGCGCATGTATGCCGTACAAATACATGTAGTACCACCGTAGGTCCTGCCCAGAAAAAAGTGCAGGGAAGACACGCACTCACAAGAGATTCGATGCCACTGTGTGCCGACTACTCTGTGGTCCTCAGTCAGTCTGGGAGACCAAATAAACATTTGTGCAACCTCACTACAGCAGAATAGCAGTAGCTCAGCAAGCTGGGTGGTGCACATCCTGATGAGGTTGACCTCTTGCGAGATGTGCGGCCTGTATACTTAGGGCAAGAGGAGCAAAACATTTATGTGCCTATCGGGTTCATGTACATGTATGTATGTTGAAATTTTGAGAAGAGACTTTCATGCCACTTCATGCAGTAGATGGTGGGATTGACCATGGTGACTCGTCACAATCAGCACAATCAGTCTGGAACAATGCTGACTACTGTATATTGCTGTGGTCCACAGTCAGTCTGGAAGGGTGCTGGTGAGATGTGCTCTGCCTTCGAGCACTGCATTGTCGGACACAGCAGTGGTTATCGGCGAAAGTTTCAGGCATCGTTCAGGCATTGTTGACTGGGCTGTGTCCACAGTCGTCGACTTTCGTGCATGATTCTGACCCAACCGTGGACGCGCATCCTTCCTGTCGTGGGTGCGGCGGTACTCGCGACCAGTGGGGGTAAAACTGGGGGTAATGATGAGGGAGGGTGGTTCGTTCGGTTGTTCGCGCACCGGGGAGAAGGTCTGAGAATTTCCGCGACAGAAACTGAATCCCTATCGGGCTACAGAACCGTGGCTAGCATAGCGTTGTAGAACGACGTGGCGAACAAACGCGTGGATTGGAGCTCCAGTCGGGGAGCTCCCGTGAGGTGGTTGTTTGTACTTTTCCGCTGCTTTGACTGCGATGCGAGGTGAATCGTTAACGTTAGCTGCGTTGGGGAGGACTAGCGTGAGCGGAGGCAGCGCCGTGAACCTTGTCGTCGTAAAATTTTTGAGCGCGGGGAATTCAGTCGCGGCGAAAAAAAGAGAAACACAGACACAAAAAAAGATGTCAAAAGGATGCTGGTGTGGGCAGAAGAAAGACAAAATGCTTGCGTTTAGCACCGGTGTCACCTCGATTGAAATTCCTTGGACATTTTTTCGAGGCATAAATTTAGGTAGCGCGAAGGCACCTCCGTTGTCTCGTGCTCGTAGCTTTCGCGAGCTGAGAGAAACCGGCCGCGGTCAAAAGATCGCGATAGAAAACGCGGTGCCAAATTTTCTTTTAGTTTTTGTTCCGTACCAGAAACAAATTCTATGCGGATTGGAATACATTCCGTGCGGCGAAGGAAGCCATACGATACACATTCATATCATGTCGTAAGAAACTTGCAGGCTATTTGGGGCCGCTGCCCAATGTTAATAATGTTTTCCATCTCCTCCGCTACAAGCCCATGCTCCAATATCTTGAGACTCCGTTCGGGGCCGCGGGCCTTGAAAACAGCTTCGTCGCACGTGACGTTGCGTTCTCGAGAAATATGGCGGTATCCACAATTTGTGGTCTACAAAATGTAGCCGCACTACGGATACACGATATTGAAAGGGTTCGTCCTTCTCGCTTGCAAAAATCACTGTGAGCAAAAATAAAGCAGGTTGCAATAGTCACACCCTTTCCCGTCCCAAACGCTTGTCTTTCTCCATTGGACAGTCGACTTCACGAACGACTTTGTACCACTTGGTCGGTCTTTGACAAAAGTTGCTGTCATCACCGTGCATGCATATCACCTTCCTATGCTGTTTCATGGAAAAATATTAACAAATATCGCACAATTTCTTCCATAGCCAGCTTCTTGGTCCAAGAGGTGTCTGACACACATTAAGTTCGTGCAAACCTTTTGCCATTTTTGACAATCTCGGGTTCAACTCGACACTGGCCCTTCCAAACCAGATGCCCGGAGTATCTGCAAGACACCTTCATGACGGATGCAGCTGTCTCTGAGGCGATACAACTGTGAGTGGGTAGTACTTGTTCACGAGACAGACTGCTCAAAATATCGACAATGACCACACACTTTTGGATCTGCAGTCTTGAAGCGGTCACAAATGTGTTCGCTATCGAGCCTCAGCAGTGGACTTGGCGGCGAAGATTCTTCGTGAGGCCGGCGCTTGAGCTAATCAACTTGATGCTAAACTCGCGTGGGCAAAACCAAAGCTTGTGGATCCTTCCGTGCTTGAGCTAGCTTTCTTCCAATTCCAACCTGCGTTTGCAAATGCTGCGTGTGCCCGCTACTGGTGCACATGGGCAACACAGATGCGAAATTCGGTTTGGAGCGATCAAATACGTGATCAAAATACTGCATGTGAGTGTGCAAGGTGGAAGTAACATGACGAGCCTTTCGTCTCATCAACATTTTGGGACACTGCGGCACGGACCAATTATTTTGTTTCACAGATTTGTTATTAAATATTGGGGAGTGTCACGCCTGAAGGAATCATGGTAAAAATTGTCTCTCAAAACCCCGTTTGCAACCAGCACATCCCGATGAGCGTGCTACACCTACACTTTCGGGATAGTTCTGCCAACAAGAAAACTATCATTATCAACCTCCCACACCCGAAGCAATGTTCGAGAGGAGAGATGACATAAATGCTGCACATGTCTCGATATTCTCGAGAACTGAAACACTCTTGGTCACCACACCGTGAGGCATTGGGACTACTGGATGAACCAGGTGCGATTCAAGTCAAGAGGCGAAACATGTGGCCCATGTATGTGCCAACAGTCATAGGGAAGTGCCAGCATTGCCCTGGTGATTAGGCTAATTCGCGGGTACAAGCATCTCTTACACCCAAATACCATATATTCCTAACCTGTTGGTTGACGAAGTCCCGAAGGATGTCAACATTGCGATTAGCACGGGGGTCTGCTGTAAAGATATAGTGGTCCGGGATTATGACGACGCCTTCTGGATCCCACACCTGCAGCAGAAAATGGGCAAAGCGACGTACGCACACATTGTGCGAAAGGTTCAGAGGGAAATAATTACTTCCTCGTCCTGTATCATGCCAATGACCCAGTTTTACGGCGCAGTATGTTCCGGTATCAACTTCCGACAATTCATAGTACCAGCCATACCCGCCAATATTGCACCCAGGGCGCGGAGCACGCACATGCTGTGAACACTTCTCTTGCGAAATACCTAAACGACATTATCAACGCTCTCAAGCGAAAGAAGCAGCACTGAAAGGATCTATCAGCGTGTTTGGCTTGTCACACATCATACACCAACTCAAGTGCGAAAATCACAAAGAGAAAACAAAAATCTTGGGGGTGGGTAATTTATCTAACTTGAACACAATGTTCGCCTAGATGTCGGCAGTGCCAGGCTGATGCGATATTGCTCTCGCTGGGACTGTTCATGGCTATAGTGTTTCTGATGAGTGTTACGCAATCTCATTCCAGCCAGGAGGGGAAACGGCACACCTTTTTCACACATTCAAATGTCGAGCTTGCCAGGTTTTGGTCATCAAACATAATGTCAACAACGCACACAACGCAAAACTAGTTTTTCAGAACTTCTGTGCCCCCAGAAGAAGTCCTCACAATCTTCAAAACAGACCAATCGACCAATCCCCGCCCCTCCAACCGTATCCGCACGAGCTTCGTCTACCATCGAACAGTTGCCTCCAAGGCATCAGAGGGCGCATAATTCAACAACGTGCTTAACGTTCACCTTGGCCTTGGGACCAAACTCTTTGTAGAAGTTCCCGATGGTGCCAGGGCCGCAGACGTCGTGTGTCATCAACACGTCCGTTTTGACCCACACGTTGTCGTTCGGTGCCACGCTTTGCCGATCGCACGCTTTCGCGATGATCTTTTCAGTTAGAGTCATCGGCTCAGAAACCTGCCATGGTCAATATTAGTCATCAAATAAACGATCGTTTGTGCACGAATGGTGATAGAAAAATTCAGTGTTTCTCCAGCTGCCCCTTTGCACATTCTTGACATCATTCTGATGCACACAAATGTACCCTAGTAATGCTGTACGAAGAAGACCGATTTGGAACCTTTATAACTCATGGCGTCATGCGAAAAAGGGTAATTAGCAACAGGCGCAAGCAAAAATTATCCCATCTGTGTTTATAGTCACCATGTGCGCTGGAGGCGACACAACAGGTGTTGTGTCTCAGCGCGGAATGCCACACCAGGCGAGGACTCCTGCCCGGCGCACGAGGCCTCATACAATACAACACTTTCAACATTCAATGTTCCAGCACACCGTGTACGGCCTGGATGCGGGAGCGACTTCTGAATGACTGCCTTATTGCACTACAAGGGCGAAGGACGACGTGTTTTCGTTTTATTTCCAATACGTGTTTGTCCCCCCCCACCGCGATTGCCATCGGGATTGGATTTTCGTCGCATGGCAACGATGTTGTTAAACAAGCGAATCGCTTCGCGAGCTCGGCAACCAGATTACCGGGGGTTTTTTAACTTCTTTTTTTTTTGCGGTAAGGCCGAGTCTTACGGCTTGATTATTTCGGAGTTTTTTTTTCTCTCGATCGGGCGGGGGTGGCCTGAAGGGAAAAAAATATCAAGATCCGAACGACCGTCTTACGGTTCCTCGAGGTATACTTTTTTCCCTTAGGAAAAAAGAGGCTGATTCATGTTCTTGTGGGTCACAACATGCTTCAGTACACGGTTTTGGCTCGTGTGCGACCAACAAGACACCGAGCGCCCTGCTTATGGGTCGCCTGCAGAGGGCATGTCTATCATCGCACGCTATCGGCTGCAGTTTGTGGATGTCGTCGGCCAAAGGCCTCTCTCTGATGGCATGCGTTGTACACTGATCACACCGGAGCGAGCAGCATAAAAAAGAGGCAAGGTCCAAAAAAGGCAACACTGAATCACACCTCGGTTCACGTTTGCACGCCGTGTGCAATCAAAACTGCACAAAACGCTCTGTTTCTGGTACGCGAGCAGAGGGTACGAGTATGACCACACGCCATTGGCTGCAGTTTGTGGATGTCGACGGGTTAAGGCCTCTCTCTGGCGTGCCTTTTCAACTGGTCACACATGCAGCAGGCGCAAAAACGGCTCTTTTCGGCCGAAAGGCAAGAACGTCAGCAGAGCAGTAGCAGGGTTGACGTTTTCGGCTCATGTGCGGCCAACACGACGCAGAACGCCCTGAATTAAAAAAACCTGCAGAGGTTTGTGCATGACCTCATGATACTGGCCTCTGTTTGGCCAGCAGACGGTGCAGTTCCTCGTTCTGGCACGATCGGGGTGTGACCACGGGGTACCCCCCCCATTTCTAACAGCGATATTCCAATAGGATCGCTGTTAGAAAAAGGCCCCAACTTTGTAACAGGCCGGCCGGAATCGCTGTTGGAAATTGCGCTGTTGGATTTTGGGCTGTTGGAATTGGCCAAATTCCTACCCGTAAGACGCCCAAATGATTTTTTGGGCTCAGAAAAGGGCCCCCCCCCGCAAATCCAACCCGGAAAAAAACAAGCCGTATGAGTCGACCTAACCATCAGAATGGTGGTCGAGTACATTAGGTTGTGCAGGGTCGGGAACCCTCACTCCGCGCAAACGGGATGATTGCACCACGTTGAGTTAAAAACGGTCAAGCACCCTCGAGGCAGTTACACAGTGCCTACAACTGTCTATGAAAGTGGAAGCACCAGAAAATATATTAAGCCATGCGCAGCTGTCATCCGTGCGCAAGGAAGTAAGCACATATGCCGAACACCCTTAGCAGGATGCAGCGCGCCCTTCATGCGACTCGCCGACCACCTCACGGTGCTTCGCGCTTGGTGATGTGAGAGCCTGGTCCGGTGAGAACCCGGCGCGCTCCGTCCCGGCTTTGTAGGGATGCGAGGTCATGCACGACTTTGAGTACACCCTCCCCCCCCCTTATCTGGACATAAGTGGTTTGGCGCTGTTGGCAAAGCGCCGTAAAACATGCCACCCCAACTATAGCCCCTATATAGTGTGCGCTACCAAACACGCGCTACACATGGACGCATGGACGAGTGGAGTGAGGATAGCTGCTAACTGAAACCTCACGGGTTGAGTAATGTATGAGATTGCCGGACACATAGACGTGTTGAGTGAGCATAGCTGTACACTGAAACCTCAAGGGTTGAGTGAGGTTTGAAATTGCCGGACACATAAACGCGTGAAGTGAGGATATCTGCACTCTGCAACCTCACAGGCTGATTGGTATTGGAGATTGCCGGGCACATAGACGCGTTGCGTGAGGATAGCTGAATATTGAAACCTCACGGGTTTAGTTAAGTTTGAGATTGCTGGACACATTGACGCGTTGAGTGGGGATAGCTAGCTGCATACTGAAACCTCACGGGTTGAGTGTGGCGAGTGTCGGACACATCGACGCATTGAGTGAGGATAGGTGCATACTGAAACCTCCCAGGTGATTTGTATTGGAGATTGCCAGGCACATAGACCTGTTGGTGAGCATTGCTGCATACTGAAACCTCACAGATGGATTGTTTTTTGAGATTGCCAGACGCGTAGACGCGTTGAGTGAGGACAGCTGCATAGTGAAACCTCACGGGTTGGGTGATATTTGACACTGCCGGATACACATAGACGCGTTGAGTGAGGATGGCTCCATACTGAAACCTCAAGAACGGCGTTGTTGGTACACAGACGAATGGCGACGAATGTGACTAGGAACGGGCAGAAAAAGTTAGTGTGCGACACGGCACACAAGAACGATATTCCTATTCCCTTGAGGCCAAGAAACATCACCCCGACGACAATATGCAGCAACCACCGCTGGAACTAGTCCACCATGCTGTAACACACTACTGCTGTAGAGCGCGAACGGCTTTTGTGACGTTCCCTTCGATTCAATCCAACCGCCATCCGCATGCTGATTGGGATGACGCCGTTGCAGTTGGTCTGGGCATGGGGCAACGTCTGGTTGCTGTTGACCTGTGCTTCTGAGAGAAGAGATGAGTGTGCTGTGTGGGGCGAGAGTCAGAGTGTGTGGAGTGCGGCTGTGGAGCGCGTGATGTGGGAGGCACAAAGCGAGGACAAGTTGTGCATATACATACGTGCTGGGCATTACATACGTGCACAGCAACCCGGAGAAAGATATACACCCCGAAAGAAGTGTAGTCTGAGTCAAACTTTAACGAACGGGAGAAATGGCGGCTCCTGGGCCCGAAAATTCTGAATGCTGGGAGGCCTGTCAGTAGCCGACGGATATCTGGCACTTGAAGGAACAAACAGTTGGTGGCGGATGCGCTTCGCGGTAACGAAGAGAAAGGACGGAAATAAATCGGCGGTGGTAGCAGGTAGCAGGAGGAGCCGAATGCTGCTGACGGAAGAGACGAGGGTGCTGTGCGAGACGAGCGTGGGAGTGTGTGGAGCGCGTGGTGTGAGCGTGGCGATACATCCATGTTATCTGGCACTTGAAGAAACGAACAGCTTTTTGCGGATGCCAATGCAACGCGGCAGAAGGAGAGGCGTTGAAGATGTTGCGCGAAGACATGGATTTTGCCGGGTCAGCAGGAGGAGCAGAGTGCCGCTGAGAGAAGAGATAAGGGCACTGTGTGGGGCGATAATCAAAGGGTGTGGAGTGGGGTTGTGGAGCGCGTGGTGTGGGAGGCACGCAGCGAGGAGAGAACTGCGGACTAATAGTGGGCACGTTGTGCGTAAACTGCGAACGATTTGATGGGCATGCACATACCCCGGAGAGAAGAGTAGTATAAATGGCGGCTCTTGCGACCGAAAAAACTGGATACTGGGAGGTCTGTCAGCAGGCGACGGATATCTGACGCTTCAAGAAAGAGGCATAGCAGGAGGAGCTGAGTGCTGTTGACAGAAGAGACGAGTGTGGTGCGCGGCGAGCGTGGGAGTGTGTGGAGCGCGTGGTGTGAGAAAGGAGAGAACGTCGAGAGAAAATAAATCCTTGAGAAATGCAGGAGAGAGAACGGACGGAAAGAAAACCCGACACCTCTATGTCCAAGTAGAGAGGACGGGAGAAATGGCGGCCTGTGAGACCCAAAATGGGTATGCTGGGCTGTCGGCGACCCACGCGAAAATCCAAAATTATTGAACGGCAGAAAGTTAGAAGAACGATGACGACAAATTTTCTAAGTATGAACATCGAATGGGTTTATTGTGATCACATATTTGATGTGATTCAAGTGTGCAAATTTCGGACAAGATTTTTTATTTAGTGCTTTTTTCGGGATAGCGCTCACTGAAACCTCAAAATGCAAATGGAGAATTTGGGTGAGGCTCATTTCAATGCGGACCTGGGTCTATGGTCACAAGAAGAATGGAAATATACGGAAGGTTGGGCGGGGCCACCGACCGTTGCAGGGGGCTTCACCAAGTCCACTACATACATAAAATGATCCACTTCCGAGGAAAAGGATGCCGTGTATAGAAAACGATCCATTCGTGAGTAACGAAAGGATGCAAGAGAACGTACGGTTCGGTGATATGGCATGTACCGGTGATATCGCACCCCCGTGCGATACAAAACCAGAACGAAATCACTATTCGATTTTCGCACCGTATTGCACTGGGGTGCGGAATGTATCGGGGGTGCGATATCACCGACACTAAATGCCCCGAGTGGTTCCAGGGACACTCAGTGCGATGGAGGTACCTCATGGTTTCGTCGCGTATCATGTATCGCAACACCTGTGTCTGTAGTACGGACGTGACGTGTTGGGTACATGTACTGCACCTCAGAATTTTCGCACAGGCATGTGCGTCGAAAGTACCCAGTACTGCTGCAGGGGGTTGTTGATATGCAGTGTCGCACGTATCGGGGTTATCGCAGCCCCTGTGCGATACAAGTTCAGGGTCGAAATGATATACTTCGATTATCGCACGGGGATCGGTGATATCGCACGAATCGAAGAAACTGTGCGATAAGAAAACGAGTTCATTTAGAAATCGGTCGCACCCCCCTGCGTTCTCTCGCATCAATAACGCACACACACTGTTCGGCTTCGCGGTCCACGAGGGAAAGGGATGTATGAATCCGTCTCGTGGTCAAGCTAAGGCGAGCACCGCAGGAGGAAAGGTGGGACAAAAAAAAAAAACTCCCGGGTGACCTATAACTTTGTGTGACTTCGGCTGGCCCTTTAAACACATACAGGTAGGTGTGTAGACTGGCGTCAGATTAGATGGGACGAACACACATTGTCGCACTATACTTCGGGGGTACCTCTCTCCAGTACATACGGTGTCATGCATGGCTGCCCTCGTTCTTACAGACAAAAGGATGAAGAGCATAAAGCGTGGAGCCACCGTTGGAGACCGACACATTGCAGCCTGAACGGTGTGTACCGAATCCACCTCGACCGTAGTGTCCGTGTCCATAGCAATGGCGCAGATCGTGCGTGCTTGTGTGTACAAGGCGTGTCTCATCATGTGGCAAGTGTGGTGCGCGCGGACCCGTGGGTAATAATTCGATCAACTTTGGGATGTTGCCCTTGTGTAACCGTGCGATAAAGTGGCGAGTTCGTCGAGATTCAAAAATGGCATTGTACAGCTTCTCTACACAGGGTGTGGTACACAATGTCACCTACCATACAAACCGTAAGGGAGTGAAAAACAAGGTAGATGAGTTGAACTTGGGTAGATGAGTTGAACTTGGGTAACATTGCCACGCGGACGTGGTGCGCCCATTACAAAACGTGAAGCAAATTCTCTCTTTTCAGTTGGAATAGGAAGTCGCCGGTGAGTTCTCGGAAAATTGGTGAGCAACGGGGCAGCTACACCATTGCCCGGGCGCAGGGCAGCACAACAACGGCGGTGTGTTTGTTGTGCAGGCAGTGAAAGGTGAGGTACGAATGCCTAATACCTCCTACGGGGTGCTTTAAAGTAAGCTGGGAAAACCGTTACATCGGGCCGCAAAATACTAGTGGTATTTAATACCGGGTACGGTCTCTTCAGATTTCGGGAAGAGGGGCCAAGGGAGACACGGATACAACCAGCTGTGCCCAGTTGTTTCTGACGTCCTCTTCGCGAGTCGTGTGCCTCAAGCACATGCAAAATCCAAACTCTTGATCTACCTGAAACGTAATTGTGAACATATCTGAGGAGTGAGAAACAAACAGCGGTAGCTGCAGCAAATCAATCGTTGTCACATTGCTTATAGTTCTAGGCGACATGGAAATATTAATATTCCTCGCGTGAGGGGTTCTAGTGACTTGAACGCAGCCGTCTATGATCGGTTCAATATCTAGCCACAGATATATTGTGTGACGTTCTTGTTCGCCGCTCCGTTTTCAATGGTCATTGTCTTGAAAGTGAGTGATAAGAAATTGAATCGATACTTGTGTGCCCTCGAATGCAAACATCTTGCCTGTACGGAGGTGGCCATGGTTGCCGCGCCCTTCCTTGTCGCCTCGTTTGGTTTGCCTTCTCGACGCTGTCGTCCCGCAGGCGGGCAAGCATGCAGGTACCGCCCTGCCGTGGGTGTCACCCTTAGGCTTTGTCGCAAAACGAAGGATGTTGTCGTCCCGCACAGGCTGAGTGCTCCAAGCGATGCATACGCCACGCAAATGTAGCTGGGGACACATTTCCTTCCCTTTCGCGCCATGGCCCCACCTCTGCGGGAAACATAACGAGCGGGCACATTAGGCTTGGCTACAAAGGAACAGCGAAGGGCCTGTCGGGGAGCGGTTTTGAGTCGACATCATAATCGAGAAGACATGTCGGGAGCCCAAAATGCAATTGAAACAGGGTGTTTTCTTTGGATAAAAAAAAATGCCCTGCTGAGGAAGGGTGGCCTCCAATCCGAGGTCCGCCTTCATTTGAATCGCTTTCCTTTAAACGTGGGTGCGTGGCGCTCGGTTACGACGAACGAACGAGGTGTTCTCGAAACCAAACGGCAGAAGGTTGCATTGCGTGAACGGTCGGCGCGCGGCTTTTGGTATTGCCGAGGCTTTCGCCGAATTATTTGCGGAATTTGCCGACACTCCAATAGTGGTCATCGTGCTTCTCAGCACTTTACACACCCACCCACCCACTTGATTATCCACTGCAGCGTCGGCCTTTGCCTGTATGCCAATTTCGGCTACGCATGTACCATATGTAGTCTTGGTATGCACGTTGAACGACGGTGTCAAGAAAGAAAGGTACATAATACTGCTGTCTTCGATTGTTGAAAGCAAGCCGACGAATTTCGTCCGCGATGCGAGTCTGGGACTATTATTTCAGGCTTGAGAACGGAAGCGGGGGACGGACTCACTCACCACGTACCTCTCATGTACGCAATTCATGAAGAGCCGACAGGCGTACCGTTACTTGACGCTGTGGCATTTCGATAATCGCAAAAAAAACGAACACTGCCTGTTAGAAGAAGCCAGAATGCACTCATCATGTGTTTTGCAACGGCAACCTGCTCATCATCACACACAAGCGGTTTTGATGCCGTGTCCGTTGTGCCGCGGCCTAGCAGTTGAAGCACGATCGTATGCGGAATCTACTGGTTTGTGCAACCATCACCATTGATGGATACAAGATGGCGACGGGCACCGCATCTCAAAAAATTTCGGAACTCCTCTTCGAGGCAAATGCTTTGTGCTCGCAAGGGCCCCAACCACAAGCTTCAAGGAGAAAATAAGAAATCCATGGTGTTAATTCAATCACAGAGTCAAATAGTTCCAGAGGGCAGGACCAGTCAGAACGTGCTTCTTTCATTTTCAACACCAAGAAGGCGCTTTCACTTTCACGTCGCACCGCGAAAAAAACGGCCAGAGCGTGCGGGAGAGGGTAGATGCAACCTTTTTTCTCCGCGCTCCCGATATCACAAGGCATCTAACCTGGTACCAGAAAGATGCTGGGTAGAGCTAGCTTCCTCGGGGTGGCATTGCTATTGCTGCTGCCTCCTTCGAAAAGTTATCGCTGGAAAACCAAACCATGAGCACACCATCCTCGCGAACATATACCAACCCCTCTCTGACGTGGGTATTTTGGGGTCAATTAAAACTTTTCTCCCGGCGCGCACGAAACCCCACGGCACCAAACCTTGGGCATGAAAGATGGAGCAGAGAGTACCTCCCGCCGAGTGGCCTTGCTATTTCTGTTGCTCCCTCCTTCGGAAAAGTTATCGGTGGATGACCAAATTGTGATAGCAACTCGACAAGTATCGTCGCGTTGCCTGTCTGAAGCTTTCCAGTTTTTTAGCCGTTAATGAAGTCGAGGGCGCACGCCGCGACACGCTCGCCCACCGAACACGACAAAGAGTAAGAGTTCTATACACAGAGTAGATGACATAAGATATCACACGTCCTTAACAATTTTTAATTTTCAAAGCTCGATTACTCCACAGCAGAAATCGTGGCCGGGAGGCGTTGGCACCTACCGATAGCTTTCCGAAACAAACCTACCTATCGTTTGACATCCTCGTCGTCGTGGACTACTAACATTATTTGCTGTGAATATTGATGATGCGATATATTATGTCACCTACTACTACTGCCGGTACAAGCCATGCATAAGAACAACGAGCGCCCTCCATACTCCGTAGGTACTGCTGTATGTAGTAGTTGAATTGAAACCTCTCATTACCCATCCATGAAGAAGTTGTTTTATACACAAATAGTTAAAAAAAAAATGCTGCAAAAACTATCCATGGACGAACCCAGCAGTGCCGTTGTTGTTGTCTTCACAATTAATCACAAAAAAACCGTTCGTTCTGTTCTCTCTACCCAGTACCTTATTGTATCTTCTTCGTCTGTTCGTACTATTATGTATGATAGTCTGACACTTGACGCGGTCGATTCCCGCCGTGGTCACAGGCTAACTTACCCAAAAAGTTATACGAAAATAAAATCGACCCGAAAAAGGGTCCGCAAGTCAACGACAGATTAGTCACCCTCCGCTCGCTTCAATACGCTATGCGAGGTAGTAACTGTAGACTGGACAATAGAGCAAACAATGAGCAAGCGAATGTTAGAGGCCACCTCACGCGCACCCGAAAAAATCGTCAGCCTTCGACCGGCATATCTCACTACGCCCATCCATGCGCATGCACTTTTTTGTGGCGAGGGACTCCATGCTTTCAAGAACCATCTCGTTGATCTGTTTTTTTCGTTTACATCCATGTAGTGCGCACGTCACACCCGAATGAAAAGGAGACCACAACCAGAACGCGCTCTTCCGCACGCTGGAAAAGAATCCGGGACTAAATGAATGCGGACCCCAGTAGATACGCTTTTCACAGTAGGTTTCCTCTCCGAAATGAAAGAACCGGACGGGAGAGAGGGAAAAAAGAAAGGAGAAGAGGCGTAGGACGCGTTCCCCGTCATGGGCATTTCATAAGAGTCGTATTGTGGTATTAATAGTGGCAGGAACCTCTCTCTGCGATCAGGTCAGAAGACCACCAGTCCCCGGAGCTCTTCTGCTGTTGCACCCACCCATGGACGCAGTAGTAGTAGTAGCGCATGTCCTGTAGTAGACAACTACTACTGCTGAAAATATTGGAGACCACGAATGAATCATACCGACAGGTGGGTCGTGGGTGGGCGGGGACCCTAAGAAACAGTCAGACTCAGCCATTTTACATCCTCCCAGTTTCTTGAAAGCAAGAACGAAGCGAGAACAAAAGAGAGACCGCCAGCGACAGGAAACAAAGAAGAAGAAGTGGAGGAGAGCAGAGCTAAGAAACAAGTGAAGAAACAAGACCCCCTTGCCGCTCTTACCCACTGGAAGCTTTCCATGTGCCGCAGCAAACAGCAGGGGCAGCACCCACTACCTCACATGCAGTAGCCGGATACATGCACGGACTGGTACGCAGTAGAAGTTTAGTCTCTTTCTCCGGCAAGAACAAAAACGCCCGGGCGAACTTGAACTACTTGTAGTCACAAGAAATAGGGTCATGATGACGTCATCCATGCTGCTTGCCGTGGGAGATGCGCATCGTTACGCGAGGAAGGCGTTAACTGTTTGCATAGAACATGCTGCCGTAGACCCTATATCTCTCAAGCTCAACCACAGCTATACCCGATACATGGTAGCATCATATATATCGAGCTGTAGAAGAATCGAAAAAAAAAATGTTTTCTTGGTGGCGAAGCGGACCCTCTTTATTGTGACTCTCCAACTGCTGTTCGTGGATGGCGACGGCATGGCGACACAGACAGATAAAATCTAGGGTTTGACGTCGGTCTTCTCCGCCGCAGGAGGTGGAAACTATACTCAAAGTCGGGGAGGGGTCGTGGTTTGCAATTCCCCACGGAACCGTACTTGAGGCGCCATGAGATTTGCACTGCCGTAGCCGGGGTTATTTGTCGGCAGGGAAACATAAAAACAAAATCTTCGGCGGACCGGACCCTCTTTTTTCAACTGGCCACCAACTGTTGTTTGGATGGCGAGACAATTTCCGGTCTTCTTGTCCGTCACAGGAGGCCGAAGCTGATGCTCAAACTCGGGGAGGGGTCATGGTTTGCGAGTCCCTACCGAACCATAATCGCTCGGGGCACCACGTCATGGACATGACAAGAAAAACATCCCCCAAACGAAAACTGCTAAAATTCATGGATGGGTGGGTGAGTGGGGGACCCCAAAACCATGAAACAGTCGCGGGGTTCGCGTTGTTCTGGGGCTCTACGGGCGAAAAACACCGTCAACGCTCTGAACCGCTGGAAGCTGTCACACAGCACTGCATGTGCGGCGAAACGCAGGGGCCATGCGCATTGCTTGACGGAAAGATGCGGCGCCCATTGCCTCACATGCAGCAGCCGGGTACACGGACGGGTAGGCTCCTACTCAGCAAGACGCAAGACGATTGCCGTTGACGTTCGATGTTATTGGGGACCCCAACGGCGAAAACGAAACAGAGAGAGAGAGGCAGACTAAAGGAAAAGAGACTCGAGAAGACAAGGCATGAACTCTCGAGAAGACACCCACTCTCATCCCTCTGGTCCACCGCAGGCTTGAACACGTGTAACGAACGGCGACATCCGATGTGCGCTCAGCAACAACAAACACGACAAAAGAAAAATAGTCGTCGTTTCCGAACTGCTGTGGAGATCATGTGGAGATACTGTAAGTTGGTGGAGACTTTCTTTTTTTTTCTGGTATCAAGTGGCAACAAAGAAGAACACGACAATCTGTCTGTGTAGACTAGAAGCACGACGGACGAACTATCATCTCAATGCGCTTGCCGTCGCGATAGATGCGCACTGCTGCCGCTATACGAACGAGCCGACTGTTGTCAAACCTGACTACGATAACCGTACGACCATTGCAGCACATTCCGAGCATAACAGCAGAAACCACAGCAGCAGCCGCATGTGTACAATGGTCACTCAAGAACAAACGCAAAAAAAACAAATTGTGGCGCGCAGCACGCAGGACCCTTTTTCGCTGTTCAACCGGCCGTTCCCATGGCGAAACAGGCAAGGTACAGTCAAGGCCGACTCTTGCCGGCCACAGGAGGCGGAAGCTGCTCAAACTCGGGGACGGCTCATGGTTTGCGATTCCACACCGAACCATACTCGAGGCGCCACGAGATTTGCACTGTAACTCGAGATCAGCATTTTAGACCCCCGGGTCGGGCAAGGGGTGGGGGATGCGAATGAAACTTCCACGGATATCGAACGAT